GTAACTGCAAAAGGTGTGTCCACTAATGAGTTCAGAGGTCATGCCTTAATAGCATAAATTAGCATATGATTTGTATAAGTGTAGTCATATAAAATGTTTGCACTTGAAGCTGGTCGTGTGATAAAATGTTATTACCTGATATTACTTATTCGTCATGCTGGTCGAAACTCTGGGCATCACAGTTTCTATTATTCACTCACTGCTTGCATTTCATACAAAATGACATCATTTGTACATCCTAGCACTATGAATAATAGATAGCAGGTAATATCTGCATGGTATCTTTGCTGTAAAATTGCAGGGAATGTTTGCATTCAATGTTCCTAAATAGACCTCATTTGTAAATGGTCACCATGATCTTTATTGCGAATAAAAACAAAAAATAACCAAGGTCTTTTTCAGAGCTACTTCTTTTTCTTCTTTTAACTCATGGGGGGTTGGGGGAGGGTGGCCAGCAGAGCAGGACAAGTGCAATTTTTTATCATGTCTTATCCTTGTATATATGTGCCAGCATTTTTTTCCCTCTCGATGTCCGGCCTTCAAATTTTTTATTTAACAAATCTTCTGACAACCCCTGTGATTTGAAATGAATGACCTCACTAGTAGGGAAAAACACTGATCTTCTTTATTGTGTGTTTCATCAGGAGGAAGATCCTAGAACAGAAACTAAAAGTGCAATAGATGCCACCAGGAATCAATGGGAGAAATTTGAAGACAGCTCACCAGCAACTGTAGATATGAAAGTACATGCAAAATCATCAGATGGGGAACTTATTGACTTAGCTAGTCCGGTATCCGAATCAGTTTCTCAGAGACCAATGCGTCCTAAAGTACCACCTCCTGTTCCTCCAAGACCAGCTAGTGTGGTAAGAATACAGGTCACAGCAACGTCTCCTAAGTCCAAAGGTCTACCAGCTAGACCACCTCCGCCAGCTAGTGTAAAAGATAGTACATTTCCAAGTAGTTTTTCAAGCCCTTCGTTATTTACAGAAACACAAAAACCCTCAGTCACGCACAGAGACTTAAGTTCCACGCAAGAACTCTTAGCAGACTATGGCATCAATTTTCCGTCAGGTGATAACGCTAGCAATCCTACACTCACTCCCACAATGCAACAACAACAACAACAACAGCCGCAGCCTTTGTGTTTCAGAAACAACTTACCTGATATCCTGAACACTATACCTTCAGAACCATCAAGTTGTAACACGCCTGTCCTGCAGCCGACGACATCACCCAAGAAAGATGCAGTGCAGCCTGGTGAAGATGACCCATTTGCTTTTCTAGTGAAACAAACCAGACAATCTATGACTCAAAGACAGCAATGTGACGCCGACAGAGGCGTGGCTAGCAGGCATACAGAAATGCATACAGGACTTTAAATAAGGACGAGTTTTTTTTGTATAAATCCAGCTTTCTCAGACTTGTGTTATTTAACCCTATATACAAGAACAAGAGTTTGTTGCCAAATGTCAGTGCATCGAGTACTAGTATATGTTATTTTATTGATGATCTGACTTTTACAGGGATATCTATTGTCACCGTGTTGAAGATTATATACTGTACAATGTTTTAGTATGATTGACATCATGTGTTAAGAATTTGATCATTGTCATTACATCATTCTCAATCCATTAATATCTCTGTGTATACAGACGTACTTAAAAAAACTGTTTGGAGTAGATAAATATCATGTACACCTGTTTCCATGTGAATTATTGGGATTTGGTTTCTCTACCTGTGTTATAAATATAAAAAAATATATTACTAATATCGATTGTATTTTTCTTTCTCTTATGTAAACAAGGGTTAATTTTAAGTTAGTAATTTTCTGTGACTTTGTATTGTGATTTTGATTTGTATATTAATTTTGTCTTGTATATTTATTTAATCAATTCACATGCATAAACAGTACAGTATGAAGTTTTATGGTAAATTGTTACAGGAATTAATTTTCATATACTGAGTCAAAATGCCATTTGTAGTAAAAATGAAAACTGGAGTAATATGTCAGCTCACATGGTATTCACTTCATGATTATAGTATGCT